GCTAGTCGAAAACATGTGCAGGTATGTATATCTAAGTGCATGTTTGGATTTGTAGTATTGTGGTGGTAGTCCGTGACTTCAAAGTCACGTCGACTGCAAAGGCCAAGAAATACCACCCGAATGACAGTCCGTTTTCTGCACTGACAATTGGCCACGACACGAAGGAAGGTGCTTTCTTGACGTCGATCACGGGGTTCGTACATACACAAATGATGAGCGTGTGTACTAACATGCCATGAGCAGGCTCAGCCCACGTCTTGAGAAAAAGTACAGCCCGAGAGTCGTTTATGAAGGTGAAGATGCACACAGTTCGTTTCCTTTACAAGACGCGAGGTAGTTCACTTAATGCTTCATTTTGGGAACCAAGGATTGTGACTAGACACCTTGATTGCCGAAGGAAACATCACGCAACCACCGCCACCGTCGAAGCAACCAGTGGTGGTGGTTCCTGTTCTCGCCCGACTCGCTGCAGACCCGGTAAATGTCGAGGCAGAAGGCAACCCATCCGTTGTGTGTTGTTTCCCACGCCAGTGCCAACACAAACAACCAAATGGGGGAGTGCCGACTCCCTGCAAACCACACACTTGATTGACTTGACGTTAGCACGACGTTGTAGAACCAAGAGTGAGATTCTGGCAGTTGGCTGGGACAGGTGTTCTGTTTTCTACGTCCTAGTACTACTAGTAATACTACTAGTAATACTACGCCTTTTCGTGTCGGTTCGCCAAGGGTCGGCACCCGGTGGCCTCGGTTGAGGACCACCTGTGTCATGGCGGGACTTGGATTAAGTCGCCCACCACAACACACACCCCAAGCCATGTCCCGCAGGACACACTTGGGCCTCGCTAATTCTTCGCCTTCGCTCGCTGTCTTCTTGACTTCAACGTAGTTCTTCACCATGGCCGGGCATTCATGCACGAGCTTGTGCAGCGGTTCCCATGAGGACTCGATATCTTCAAAACCTTCCCAAAGCACTTCCAGCATGAAGTCTTTCACATCCGGGACAAAGTTGTGTCCCGCGATGGACTTGACCTTCAGCATGATCCCTTGCTCGGAAACGTGTTCGAGGATTTCTTCGGTCACTTCAAAGCTGTCTTCGGCGTAGAGCTTGACTCTTGATGCATGCGCTTCTCGCAGTTCATTAGTCACCAAGTGCTCCAAAACGACGGAGAATTCGCCCACTTCCTTGACTCGGTAGGGGCCTGTCCAGGTTACGAGCAGCTTGGGGTGATAGCGCTCGTCGACGCGGGACCAAAGCACATAGTCGCCTTCGCTGACATTGCATTGTTCGTACTTCTCGGTCGCTTTCGTCGCTTTCGCCGCGCGCATCGCATTCTTGTCTAGGACTTCTTTGTGCATGACTTGCAGGCTAGCACGCAGCGTGTCCAGGTTTTTGGGGATGTCCTTCACCGTCCAGTCGCTCTCTCGGAGTTCCTTGACATCCAGGGGAGTCGCTGGGTTCAAAGCCGTGATGAGCTCCTTCGGCGACTTGCTCGCCAGTGATGCTGCCGGTGTTTGGTTGAGGTTGGCTTGGACCACTGGCAATAGGTAGTCCCATTCCTGTTCGGCTAGCTGGTATTCTCGCAGCATGATCCGCATCACTTGAAGGATGTCGCGGTTCATTCGCTCCACCGTTCCATTGCGCCAGGGGCAGTAGGCCAAGGTTAGGTCATGATGGACCTTGAACTTTTGTGCTAGCGCCTTCATGGCCACGTTTTTGAAATGGGTTCCTTGGTCGCTGGCCTAGACTCGTGGCATTCCGAACCGCTTCGTCCAGTCCACCAGAGCATCCACACATACTTGGCTCGTAGGTCCGTCGCATGCAATGAGTTCGCAGTAGTGGGTAAGGTCGTCTTTGAGTACCAGCACATACTTAGCGCCGCTGAACGCTTCGCCCATGTAGAGGTAGTCGAAGTGGATTCCTTCGTTGCGCTCTTTCGCGTGCCATCTCGGAGCATACGGTCGATGGACCACCCTTCCCCCTTTTACATGAGGGCACAACAAGCAGCCACGGAGGAATTCACTGGCCCTGTCGGCCAAGTGGTCGACATAAAACAGGCGGCGGATAGTACCACCAGCGCTGCATGTCCTCGGTGTCCGGCGCTGCCGCAGTGGGCAACGATCATGATCCGTTGGATCAGGTCATTCGCCGCACTCGGTATCCATAGCCGCTCGTCCACTTGTCACAGTCCGTCCACGACGGTAGCTCGCTTCGGTTTGTCGTTGCCATGCTGGTCTTGGGCGTGACGGATGTCCACCACACATGGCCACACAAAGTCCTTGTCCAGCGGTCGCAGTTTTGGTTGTGCCGGTGGAGGGACTTTGCGCGCTTTGACTTTCTTTGACCAGCCATGGCCCCGACGTATTTTGACCCGCTTGGTCGCCAGACTTGGTGTCGGCTGACCCCAACGGCTCATCATATCCGCCCAAAGGTTGTGG